AGCAGTTTCTGGTGCAACAAGGACAGCAGTATTTAAGAGCTGTTGCCATTGAGTTATCATGCAATGCATACTGGTAGCTGGATGGTCCCATTTCAGCCAGAACACTCTAAGAATTTGAGGATTTGTGGGATGCCTGTGCGTGTATGTAAATGCCCTTCTCTAATTCTAACCATTCCCCCTTCCCCCTTCTCCACCCACCAAAGTTATTTGTGGCAGCTGTTAGCACAGAAAGGGACCATTTCATGAGCTGAAAGCACTGTGTGTATATTCAATATATATATGCAGACCTCTCTTCTGCATACTCAGGATTTTGGAGGTCCTACATCCCCAAAATACTTGTGGGGTTTCTATAATGGAACATGAAGCATGGTTAAACTGGCACAGGCTTATACTGAATATTGCTATGTTATGTGGCAGTTACTGGTGCCACACATGTGGGTCAGTCTGTCATGCCTGACTGTGGGCTATTTTGTGCCTGGTTGTTCCCTCTGTGTGCAGTGGTTATCCCCAAACAACTAGCATCCCAAGTTGTCATATGTTCTGAAAACACATTTCAATGAAAACATGGAAAAAGCTGTGTCCTTTCATGGATAATGAAAAATTTAAACATAGACTAAAGGAACCTCTAGACTGGCAATTGCATCAGCAGCTGCTGACCCTTCCAAAGCAGAAGCCTTCAGATCAGAGCTCCGTTCTTCAAGATAGGGATATGCCTTGCATTGTAGCTATTTGTGGTTCCAGGGAATGAGAGCAAAACTGTGACAAGTGAGCATACGACGTATGCAGGATTCCTTTGTTCTTGATTTTTTTTCTTCTGAAAAAATAAATATAGAGACTGAAAGAATATGCATTTCCATTAAAGAGTAGAAGCACAAAACCTGCTGGCCAGTGTGATTGTGTGTAAGAGAGGGAATCAGCACCACTTTTGTCTTCTTTGGTAGTAAGCCATTCCGTGAATTTTGACAAAAGTTAAGTATACCTAGAGCCTCGGTCTAAGGCGGCTCATCAAAGCTGACCATGGACTGTGGTGCTGTCAGATGCCCAGTGCCTCTACTGCCTCTTTGCTTAACAGAGGACAACCCCATCCTTGGCTGTTCCCTGAGGGGGATCGTCGTAGTTTCCTAATGGTGCCTGTGCCCTTTCCTCATCTCTCGGGGAGCTAAAGCTTGTACAAGCAGCTGTGAATTGCCCCCCTGCAGACAGCTGTGCTCGGGAATGTCTTGGGCCATCCTCCCCTGGCTTCAGTTGCTGCCTGTTACTCTTTGCCCACAGCGTTTGGAGGCCCCTGTGTTTCTCACTCCCAAAGTGGTCACAGAGAGGATGCTCCCATATTCTGGGCTCCCTCACCATGAATGGCCCTTTCCACAGGAAGGGTAGGCAAGGCCCAACCACAACCTGTGCCAGAGCAGCCACACCGGGCAGAGCTGGCGTTGTGTGCCAGTGCTGCTGCAAGGATGTGGGTGGAGTGAGAGGCTGTGGCTTGCCCAGGGAAAGTCCTGAGCCCCACGGGGGCACCTAACACATGTAGCTGATGGTTTGGGCTGTAGGCAAACATAGTGCTGTGGGATGGAGGATCGTTTCATCCAGAGCACAGAACTGCCGTGGGAAGGAAATGCTGGAGCTGCAGTGCCTGGGCATGGGGCTGATGTTCTGCTGGAAAACCTGCTCATCACTGTGATCTCTGGGGGGTCATTGTGAAGGCTGCCAGCTGGGCTAAGCTGCCACTTCCCCAGCCTCACCTGTCTGCTGTGATGGTGATGTGGAGTGCTGTTGCTACATGTAAACAATGCCTGGATTCTCAAAATCACAAATGTGTTGGATTAATTAATTTGTAGAGCATCTTCTTGAGCCACCCTATAAGGGCTGGGAGAAACCAATAACTTGCTGATATCAGCCAACGTTTGCCCCCTGTGTGTGAAACCAATATATATGGGTATTACCAGCAAGTACCAAGGAGGAGGGCAGTCAGGCAGGAAAGTCTACCCGGGGGTAAGGAGAAAGTAGTTACAAAGGGATGTTTGGTCTGGGTAGCACCTGGGGTCTCCAGTTCCTGCTGTTGGTGACCACATGACCAGCTCAGGCACCTGGAACGTGCTGGAGGTTTCTGGAAAAGAAAAGCTCTCAGGGTTACAGGGATGTTACCAAGGCATGTTTAGTAGTAATGCATAAGGACTGGTCCCTTTATAGTTTGTTGCTGTAAGCAAATTTTATTCTCTTATGTGTTTCCCCTTGAAATCACCAAGTCAGACAAGAAAATAAAGCTCTGTAGTTCACAACTGCAAACGTGTAAATGTTACTGAAAAACCAGCATATGGTGGGGGCTATTGCCAGTGGAGGACTGTCAGTCTCCACTGACCTGGGCGTAGTCGCCTGCCTTTCTCAGCATTGTGTTTCCTGCACTTTGAGCTGGGGGGGAGGGGAATTCTCACCCTGCAGCTTCCACTGCCTGCAGCCCCCCGCTTGCCCCTCCTACCCCACCCTCTGCACGAGGCTGGCTGCCTTCAGTCAAAAAATCTGCTGGGCTTGGCACAAACGCCTTCTAATGCAAATATCAGAGGACTATAGAAAGCCTCTCTGTTCATGTCGGTTCTTCTGAGCCTCGCTTTCAAAGTGCTGACTGTGTTGGTTCTTATCGTAAGTCAGTCTCAGCAATTAACTTTCTTTTGATCATTTGGGCGTGTGCTTTTTTTTTCTTTTTAAGTGCACTTTTAATAGCAGATGAATGTAGTGACCAAATACACAACCATGGGATTTTTAATTTAAAGAATATGCTACTTAAGCAGATGTTATCAAGCTTCTCCAGACAAAAATATAGTTTTAAATTACAATTTTATCGATGAGAATAGTAATGAGGATTGTTACTTTGAAATAGGCAATTTAGGTGTGTAAGAACATGCAAAAATTGGCATGCAGATTTTAAATGTGGTATGTTAAAGTCTGATGTAGTTTACTATGCTGTTTCACATTAACAGCTGTATGAGTGATTGATGAACTTTTTTACCTACACAGGTATGGTACTTGGATGCTGGTGCCCCAAATGTGTAGCTAAGTAAGTGTAGGCCAGTTCTGCACCTTGTTTCTAAAGACTTTTACTCCTGGCACCCCTGTGCAGCCATCAGTCTCTGCTATTGAGTCCAAACAAATACAAAAGAATTTTTTACTCATTAGGAGACAGATGCTCAGTGAGACTCACTCCCTGAGCTTTTGTGTCCTGGACTTTTCTTTCTCCCTTTTGACAGCACTGCACATCACAGAATGCTGCTGTACTACCCCAGAGGCATTCTGCTCCATGGATTACTGAGTAAAATGTGAGTGAATCTATAAACAAAATTAAAGATTTTGTTTTAATGTGAAGTTTATCTCTTGCTAATAATGTTTGCCTTTTACAAACTCAGCAGACTAGAGCATGTCTCATTGCTCACAGTAGTCAGGATTGTCAGTGGTTTGTTTTGTTGAGCAACATTACATTTCTGAGGTTACCCCTCATGAGTAGCAAGACAGGTTTTTTTGCTGCAACCGTGAATATTGAAAAAAAAAATCCTTCTCAATTTGGTGATTTAGATCACAACCTTGTTGCAGCATGCATGCAGGCTGCATGTTTAAAATAGCATGTGGCAGATGTGTTGCTATAAAATTTTTGATGAAGAGGTGACCAGAATGCTCAGCTTTTCATGCTGTCAGTGACAGTGCAAGGATAGCACTTGCATTTGCTTGTACCTACTCCAGCTGGAATTCTTGAATACATTGGCTTGATGATATTTTTGATATGTAGGTTAGTATTTTTGTTATTTCATAAAGACTATACATGGTTCAGACTCATATAATTAAAAACTAGGGTTATTTATGTATAGTACTTCCAGTGTCCTCCTTTGAGACCCTTAGGGTAAACTTGGGCAGGTATGATCCATAATTGTTGAGGTTCAACCCAGACATAGTTCCTCACTCTGGTGCTGCTCACTGCAAAAGGAGGTTTCTGTCATGCAAAACTCAAGGTTTCCTTGGTGTAGCATCTCTCTCACAAGCATGTAATTTGTAGCCATCCTCAGAAAATTGCCTCTCTTGCTTTGGGTAGCTATACAAATCTCAAAATCTAATTTCATAGGTGGTGGCGTCTCACAAGTGTTTTCTTACATTGTGGTAAATGCAATTTAACTTAAGATCAGAAGAACTTCTATATGAATCAATTGAAGGTCCAGCCAACACAGTGTCCTGTTACAAGCAGTGGCTTGCAAAAAGCGCTTAAACAGAAGGATGAGGAACAGAGTTGTAGGAAGTGATTACACACACCTTCAGTAACTGATAGTTTAGGCATTTTGTGTGTTAAAGTTTGGATCTGGATAATTGTATCTAATAGCCACCAGTAGGTTTATCCTCTACAAAATCCCCCCCTTTTTCTAAATTCCTTTTATGCTGTGGCCTCCACAGCTTCCTGTGGTAATGAGTTCCGCACTCCAATTAAGAAGCTATGTGGAAAAAGCATTTCCTTTCCTTTAAACTGGATAATTTCTTTAAGTGCCTCCTTATCTTAGTATTGTGAGAAGTCACGAAAAATCATTATCTACAAACCTTTCTTTGTGTCATTTATCATTTTGTAGTCTTCTACCATATTCCCTGCATATTTTGTTTTTATAATATTTTATTTGATTTTCCTGTCTTTTTGAGCTTTGCCAAATAGTTCTCTTGAAGAAACCTTAGACTAATTTGCTTTAATCAGAATAACAAATCAGAATGGTCAAATGAAAAAAAATAAATTAATTTAGTCTCTTGTTTTATAGAAACTCTTCCAAACTTGTCATCATCCTGGACTCTGTGTAGCTTTTTTGGTTCTACATATACAATGAGGTGGGTTGGTATGAACACTGAGCTCTGATGTTTTTTGTGTACCAGGTTTCCTACCTGGTTTTAGCTATCATAGTTTAACATTATGCATATCTACGTAAGGTTATGTATTCATTCACGTATTTTACACTCACTAGAATTTCATTCTTTTCTTTCTTCAGGTCACTCTGCTGTTCTCTGCTTTGATATTCTTCAGCACATCTCCATAAGCAGTTTTAAGCTGAGTAAGCTTATTTCAAATCACTTTGATTATTTTGAACAATTCAGGTCAAAAAGACTGTAAATTGGCCTCCCTACTGGTTTGCTGAATATATCTGGGCAGTAGTAACATGTATGATTTAAATCATTAGTTGTTACCTTTTTGATACATCCTTCAGATGTAGATTTACATGAAGACTGTGAAGTCTGTGCTTGAATAATACAATCATCTGCAACTTGCCTGCATTGTTCAACCAGGTCTTAATACCAGTTGCTCCTTGAGCGAGTCAGAGAAACCACATGAATGCGACTTTCCCCTTACCAGGCAATCCAAGTACAGACAAGGAAAGAGTATGGCGTCTTAAGTAAGAAAAGTGTCTTATAATCTGTACTAGTTCCCCTAGCATAGAGGAGGCACACCTCTGCTGTTCCTTAGACTGGTTTTGTAGTCACCTTTCATGTGAAAAGGGTTGTTTCCCATAGCTGGGTTAGACTGTGTATCATTAGTTGATGTATATACAACTGGCCAGCCAAAGAGAAGGAGCTGCAACATAGCATGATGACTCTGGCTTTTTTATTTGCTTGTTTACAGCTAACTTTTACAACCCATCATTATGTTTATGGTTGAATTTGGAGAATATGGGTTTTAAGTTACTTGCATTTATTCATGTGGATGAGAGGGTACGGAGGGCATGTCCTTTTCTGTAAAACATTATGTTATCCTGGAATGGGTAAAAGGAGTTCTGTCAATATTAATGCACCTATCTTTGCTCTCCAGAAGCTTGCATGCCTAATACATCATTAAATCTAGTCAGAAAGAGGTACTGGCTTCTCTCTTTTTGAGATTAGCATATAAGAGAAGTGATTCTGAACTGTCAGAATCATTCTGTGACAGCATGTACTGTTAGAAGTTACTATCTTTCAGCTTAAAAGCAATATAGAAAGTACAGCAGCCTGAAGAAAAGGTATTTCAAGATCTTTTCCTTCTAGTGGATAATATTTACTTTATTTTAGTTGAACAGGTTTTTAGAGATCATTATGTTTAATTACGATGAATGTAATTCTTGTACTAACAATGCTTTCAGATTGAAAAAAAAAAGAATATTTACATGTATAAAAGTGGAGGATCAAAATCTTTCAGATCATTTTTCTGTTCCTAAGCATATGTTAAATACTGAGAAATATAGGTCTGTAAGCTAAAGAAAACAGTATCAAACACATGATGTTTGAAAAATCCAGGGCAGAGCTCTTTTTAAGGGAATGATTACAATTATTTACTAAGAGCATGACAGAAATATTGTGACTTATGTAGTACTGGTGGACATCACAGGAAAAGATGATTTTTGCAAAAGAGATTTTAATGAAATCAGGGTGGTACAGATTGCATTACTTTCAGCTGGGCAGGTTTTCTAGCTGGCCTGTCCAGTACATGCATAATTTGCTTCCAGTTTTTACCTTCTAGAGAAACCTGTTGTTCACTCCTTCTATGATCCTAAGTGTATCTGCACTCCTGGAACTACTAGTTTCTAAGAATAACAAGAGAAAACAGAGCCAAAGGGCATGATGTGTTAATTGTTTGCAGAATGTTCCCGGTGCAAATTTCCTTACTTTCTCAATGAGCTGGAGCTTTTTGTTAAATTAATGGAAATTCTCCTTGCTATTTCCATAAAATGCAGGTCCTTTATCTGAACTGAAACTCCTTTGTGGTTGCAAGGTGTGGGTGGCAGAATGCTGAAATGCCTTTCAACTAACCTTCCCAGAATTCTGTTTATAGCATAATGCAATAGACACAGTTTTGGCATTATACTGTCAGCACAGCTGTCATGTGGGAAATCACTTTCTACAAATATATTTATGGGAATGGCATAGAGATAGCCCACTGGTGCTTCTGTGATCTGAGGTTTCCTTTCTGTTAGCCACGGATCTGCTGATGAGAAAGATGACAAGAGAATAAAGGTGTGTAGTAGTTCAAACCAGATTTTCCCCCTGCAGTTGAAAGTGGTAACCCCCAGGGGGTGGTAACTCTTGAAGTTTTGAAGTTTTGTCCAATGAGTGCTTCTGCAAAATCTAAACATATCACAACCAAATGGAAGAGAAGGGTTGTAGTTTTGGGGTGGAAGAAGTAGCCATGTTCTGACTGCCACGAGGAAAGGGGCCCGGAGCCCCTTGGGCCCTCTGGGCCCCCCCCCCCCAGCCCCGGGCTGGGGGAGCTGCAGGCACCTGGAACAGCATAAAGCTGGGCTAGGTGCCTGTAGTTATGCCGGGAGATGTTTTCTCCACCGTGGGCAGCAGAGACAGAGCAGCAACAGCGGCAGCAAAAGCAACACTGGCTGGAGAAGGTGGGAGAGAGCCAGGACAGATAAGAGCTGAACTAAACAGCAAACGGCATGTACTGCAGAGAGGACTCCTGGAAGGAGACAGAGAGCCAAGAGAGAGCCAACAGCAGCAGATGTGAGCAGAACTGGCTCTACAGAGAGAACTGGGGTAAGAACTGAACCAAAAGACCCCAGACTCCTTTGAGACCCCTCTTAAATCAGAGTGGTGGACTCTTACTGATTAGAAGTCCTAGATGGAGTAAAGGAGCTAAGAAGCTCAGTCGTCCTGAGAGTTCAGCCAGGACGGTGTGTGGAGGCTGACCTTGAGGCCCTCCCTTGCTGCAAGCTACAAAGAAGCTCACAGCCATCCTGAAGCAGGGCACAGAGGCTCTGGAAGGGGTTTGAGTCCCCTGAAGATACCAGACTGTCACGAAGACCCCCTGGGCTCGTGATACGACCGTGGTGGAACGACCTTTGTCTGGGGTGACGTAGCCCACAGAAGACCCCTTTGCCTGCATCAAGGGGCCGAGGGGGATACCCCCTTGTGAGTGCTGGCAGAGATCCAGCTATCAGCTGCTGCAAGAAAGAAGAGAGAGAGCCTGCTGCCTTAGAGACATTGCTGCTCTGAAGAAGGGATCTGTCCTTCTTCCCTTCTGGACTTTTATTTGTAGGGGAGAAGAGATCTGATCCATTGTAAATACTTATGTCATGGCAGAGATAGCTAAGGTTGTATATAATGTATTGTAGTATTTATTCGTAGAGTCATTGTAATATATTCCCTTTTCCCCATTTTGAGTCTGTGTGATTGTCTGGAAAACACATCTTACACTAGGTTGAGATGTAGGAGGGGGTTTAGACTAGGGAATTGGATTTTGGGGATTGGATTTTGGGGAATCTCAAACCATGACAAGGTGTGAGAAATAAAATCTTTCAAATCAATGATAATAGGGGCCCTTCCAGCTTCAGAGGGAGGATTGTTTATTTTACATAATTAGAAGAGATGAAGATGATGACAAATGGAAGGATTTTAATGAGAGAGAAAAATAATTGTTTTTACCAACTGTAAAGGTCACCTCACTGATGAGGTGTCTTCTTTGTAGTTTCTATCAAAGCTGAAAATTTATTTCTTCTAGCATTTTGTGTATGCTCCTTGGGCTCTCTAAACTTGACAACATAATAATGTTATCAATGAGAACTTTGGAGAGTCCCAACTCTGTTAATTTTGCTCAGTATAAGAAAAAAGAAGTTGCTTCTTGAGCCCATTCTTGAGTTTCATTTAGTCTGGTCCAGGCCCTCATTGTCAATGATGCCAGAGACTCTGAAAGAAGTTGGCCTCAGTGAGAGATTTGAGCTAACTTCCCTCTCCCAACAGTTAAACCTTGAATGTGGAATCATAACATTTTACGTAAGCTATAAAAATAAGTGCATTTTTAAAAACCATGGGTTTAGGTTTTTAATGTTTTGTTTGCTAAATACAGCCTGTAAACTTAAGATTTATCAAGCAAGTGCTTGCCAGTGAATTGTATTTCCACCCCTCACCTTTTAGTACACAGAAGTAGAGGACCTATAACAGACCACCCATTGGAGATTCAACCAAGTGATGTAAAACGTGGCACAAGGAACTCAAACTCCATTCCGAGGCCATGACCTGTTTAGGGTGTGCTTTGAAATATGGCACATTTTAAGGCAATCTCATGTTGTATACATGTCATTAGTAAAGTGACTTCAGGCTCTTGGAAGTCATCAAGTTTGACACCACGTCATTAAAGGTTTTTATTACTGTTTCCTAAACATTATTACTATTTCCTGTACACTTTTTGCTACTGTCTTTTAAAGCTTATTGTTTGAAAGAAACCTTAAGCCTTACTTGTTTTCTAAGTCAGCTTGAACTTTAGGTACCGACAATAAAAACACACCAGAAATGCAAATCTTGACAAACACTATTGGCTGTCTCTGCCAGCTCCGTGCTCTTTGCCAGTGCTGCCTCAGTCAAGGACAGCTATTCGAACAGATCTCTGTGCTGAAATATCTGGACTCTGTGAGCCTCATTGTTTACCTGTCTCACATGCATGCTCATCCTGATTACAGCGAAGGCATCCTTCTTGTCATGTGTGCATCAAACCCTTCTCCTTACGTCTTTGTGGGCGTGCAACAACTGCCATTATCTGATTCTTCCAGGGAAATGAGGTTGAGGTGCAAGAGGCAGCAGTCATAGCCACTGACAGACCTGACAAGAAAATGTCTTAATGCAAACAGGAAATAAAACTGCATCTGTTAGCATTCCTGAGGAAAAGTGTGTGTTGAGAAAATAGGGCTCAGAGGCAAGGCTCAGAGGCTAAGTAAATATTTTATGGAATGGAGATGGGGATAGGAGGCTGGGGGTGGAGGGGACACAAAAGAATTGAGTTGCCTACACTTAGAGTATGAAATGAGGAATTTTTTTCTGTGTGCAACTGGGTTATATTTCTTTCTTTCTTTCTTCTGTATCTTCTTCTCCCAGATAAGGTGTTGGTCATATGGCTTCAAAGATTTTAGTGCACTCAGCAGCAAACCTGTGTTTGTGGTCTTGGTTTTCCATGGATTATTTACAATTTTGTGTAATCACAGTGGTTGATGGAGTGAGGAAGATGGGAGAGAGAGGTGGTACATATATATTGCAATGTTGAAACGAAGTAAGGTATGACATTACTTCAAGTCAGTCAAGGAGGAAT